TAAAATGAATAAATTTAATTGATTGCTTTTTAAATTGCTAAAATTTGCTAAAATTAAATAAAATTTTACCTTTGTGTTTTCAACATTTAATAAGTTTTTACTTTTTATTCATTCCAAAAATATACTTTTATGAAATGTATAAAGTAGTTAAAACGTAACCTTTAAATATACATTTAATTAGAAAATGCCGTTTAATTCAATCAGTACAGCGAAACTACATGGCCAGATAGTATTCACTAATGCATTTATCACTCATCCAAATAAGAACAAAGCATGTGAAATGCAAAAAAAATAATAATAATAAAAAAAAAATGTGCAGAAATAACTGGGCTAAAATCTCGATTATGATTGTATTACGGAGGGTGGGAGTAATACGATACTTATATTTGTGTAGTGGACACATGCATGAATGATGGATCCATGAACAAATCAATAAAGAATTATCTTATATCATGTGATCCTCATAGCTGACAAAAACAGTAACTTGAAATTTTTGTAGTAATATCTACAGAGAATAACACATTTTTTCGTCCTGAAAGCTTGGCGTTTCTCTCCCTCTCTCTCTCTCTCTCTCCCACATACCCTTTCATTTTCTTTATTTTATCTCTCTCTCCTCTCTTTCTCTCCCTCTCTCTCTCTCTCACTCGCTCTTTAACTCTATCTTCTTTCTCATTAATGTGTCAGTCCGTATCTCGTCAATAAAGTAAGCCATTGTTTTTAAATTTAAACTAACACATAAATTTGGACATTCAGTGGTCAACATTTTCAAAACAGCTCGCAACGCTTCGTTAGGACAATAGGACAATAGGACATTCTTGCGCAAGTTTGGTTCTTTATTGAATTCAAAAAGACTCCACGCAAATCTATCTCCCACAAATTGTTGCTCTTTTCGGTGAGTAAAATGACTGTGGGTGTGCCTGTGGCCGATGCCATCACATTCGCTAAAACATGTTTGCGTTTCTTTAAAATTCAGACAAACTGTTTTCTTTTAAAATCAGAAATAAAATGAAGTGGCCACGGCAGTTCTTCTCTTTTTTGTACACTTGCCTTACCAACTACTTTGCGGGTGGGGACCCTAATCCAGGACACAGATCAATCCTTAACGACCCAGGAGACCAGCGCACATATCACCAGCGACACAAAGCCGTAGACAAGCTGCGGAGAAGCGTCACACGCAACGCTTTCCAGGTGGTCGAACTCCTTCTGGGTGCACGATTTCGTCTTCACGACCAAGCAGTCGTGGCTTGAGGTCCTCGTCTCCTCGTAGTGCATCAGTTCGCAGTAGCGCTCCTTGTCGTAGAGCTCCACCGCCCCGGCGGATGCCATCAGGCAGGTCATGACCATGGCCTTGCACCCTGAGGACAGCGAGTCGATGGCGGCCTCGAAGCGATGGAACGCGTCATCGTGAACTGATCCCGCCATCGTGGAGAGTATGCAAGTGAAGGCCAAGGTCAAGGTGATGTGTAGCGTGGACAGAGACATGTCCTTTTGTCAACAGAAAGCCCTGAAGATATTAAATACGTTACTAAGTGAAAACATCTTAAAGGTTTATTTGAAATGTACCTTTAAAATAATAGTTTTATTGATTTCTTTTGATATGCTAAGAAAGGCAGACATTTAAGTACAGGTTTCGAAGTAAGATAGAAAAATTTTATTTAAAATAATATACAAAAATTAAGTTTTACTTGTCAAAGTGAGATAGAAATATTAAAATATACGTGTCATAGTAATGAAGACATATTAAGATATAGCTGTCAAAGTAAGATGGACACATTAAACTTTAGTTGTAGAAGTAAGATATACTTGTTGCGCTTTAGATGTTGAATGATTTTCTCCAGTTGCAAAACAAAACAGCTTTGATATTTCAACAAAAAAAAAAAAATGATGGAAAATGCATGCATAAAAGGCATTGAACAGACACCTTGTGGGCTTTGTCCATGGAGTCAATTTTAGCATTTGTGTCCGCAAAGTCATCGCGACATTTTTCAGTCATTATTCGAAAAGTAATCTCAACACTTGGTCATTACCCGAGGTGTCATCACAACGCATTGTCATTACCCAAAAAGTCATCTCAACACTTGGTCATAACCCACAAAAGGTCATCTCAACACTTAGTCATTACCCACAAAAGGTCATCTTCACACTTGGTCATTACCAAAAAAGTCATCACAACGCTTTGTCATTACACGCAAAAGGTGATCTCAACACTTGGTCATTACTCAAAAAGTCAACTCAACACTTGGTCATTATACAAAAAGTCATTTCAACACTAGGTCATTCCTGAAAAGGTCCTCTCAAAACTGGATCTGTACCCACTGAGGATTTTAAAACACCTTTTTTATCTCAGTAGGGAGCCTACAATGGCTTCAACCTTACAACATGTGCTGATTCTCGACCACCCGACTGTGTCATGTCGTTAGACAACCCGACTAGGTTCTATGTCGTTATCAAAACCACGATACACAGTTCTCAAACTCTCCATTTTGAAGTGTGCCCTCATGACACGGGCTTTTGGTTTGCTCAAATACTGCAATCTTGTTTTGATAAGTCTTATGATCAACCCCCCCCCTTTTTTTCTACATTGTTTCTTTAATTCACACACTTAAGTTTGTGAAAAGTGGGGGGGGGGGGCGCGGTGATGTATGTATTATCGTTACAAGTTTAAAGGTCACAGGACTGTAACAACATTTATATCCATACATTCGGAAGAATTTTTGAAGGGTTTCTGAAAATTATTCGCACACAGGTATAAAAGCATCTGATCAGAGTTGTTAAAGGGCTTCTCAAAAGGTATTAACAGGTACTAATATGTTACATTAAGAAATGGCATTAGCAGGGCTAGTCTAAGACTCTTTATGCCCCCCCCCAATTACCCCTCCCCAGTCCGACGTATCGGGCCGCGGAGTGGCACGTTGGAGATGCCCACTCGTCAGGACGGCCCCCACCCGGGCCCCTCACCCAAGTCCCCCTCCTGGGTGCCTGGGCACTCGACCAGGACCCCGCCTGGGGGCCGCCCCAACCATAAGCCACCCGGTCGATCCGACACTATGCGTTTAAATAGTGCACTCGATCGACTTTCTTTAGGAGTCGGGATGGAAAAATTTACGTCCTAATATCTTCCCCCACCCATCCCTGGAAAGCGTCGGACGCCCTGTAAGAGGGATTCCACAGTGGGTTTCCACAACGTGACTAGTTCACGCTGTAGCTGGGACGAAACGGTTGCCTAGGGGCAGCGTTCTCATGGCTGCATTATTTGAATCCTCGGCCAGAGGTTACCACCCTCGCCTCTGGCCTCATACCCGTCAACGGCAACTTGTAATCATGATCCCTACCCTGGCTCTGCCTAACTTTCCGACTGTAAAATATCACAACCGGCAGCCCTGTGGGAGCTGTTTTATGTACGGCAGGTACCGAGCACACCCTTTGTCTGCCCACGCGGGGCGTGCCCAGTAGTTATGTTTCCAGGCAAACGCCGAGGGGGTCGGTGGCCGACGCTTCCTAATCGACAAGCCACAGCAGACTTGTCCACCGGAAACCGGGAAGGTTTCTAAAACATCTGATTGGAGTTTTAAAGGGCTTCTCAAAAGTTATAAACCGGTACTAAAATATCTGATCAGAGCTGATACAGGGCTTCTCAAAAGTGTTCATACACAGGTTCTAAAACGCCTTCTACGTATTTCCTATATGATCGTTATTCTATCTACGTGAAAAGACAACAAATGGTATACTCCTATCATAAACCCATTTCGATCTAAATGCAATGTTCGTGATTTTTTTTTCTGTCTCAGATTGTTCTTCGATATCTGAAAGTTATTGTAACCAGCTGGCTCACAAAACAACTACAGGAGAGCTATCAATGATAAACTATTGATACATGTAACATTTCAGTTTATCATCTTTACAATAATCACCATAGTTACAGTTAGTTTCGTTTAGAAGCAATCATTTAACAGTTAAAGTCTTATTGGAATAAGAACGTCGTAAATGAGAAAGAAAAAAAATTATTCTTACCAGTAACCGTTGTGGAGTGTTTTGTTCCCAACAATCCTGAATAGGCAGGACGCCATTGTGGACCACGTTATCAACATACAGGGACGTGACTGTACGCAAGAGAGAGAGAGAGAGAGAGAGAGAGACATGGGGCTCAAAAATCAACATTAAAAAAATTGGTTAGACAAGGCTGGTGTATCCGAAACTCTACTGAACAAGGTAATCTTGAGCGTTGCTGGGTCTGTAGGTGGACTCTTTCTGTGGGTGAGGATACTGTCTACTTGTGGGTGGGGATACTGTCTACCTGTGGGTGGGGGTACTGCCTACCTGTGGGTGGGGATGCTGTCCAGCTGTGGGTGGAGCTGAATATGTCTGTGGGTGGGACTGACTCTTTCTGCAGGCGTCGGTGATACTGTGTTTTGTTATTGTTGTCTTTGATAAGGATTGGATGGTGGGTGGAGTTGACGTTATTTGTGGGCGGGACCGAGTTTTATGGTGGGTGGGGTTGGGGCTATCCGTTGGTGGGTCTCATGTGGTCAGTGAGTGGGTTTTATTTGGTTTTATTTGGTATGGGTTGGTCAGTGCATGGGTCTGAGTCTATCTCTAGTGGTTTTGAGTGTCTTTGGATCAGGATTAGTCTGGGTGTGCGTGGGGCTTATCTCGATAATTTTGAGCGTTGGTATTACTATACTGACTGCAACGTCTTGACTCTTGGCTATTATAGCAGTGACATAATTTATTGACGTGGTCGGCAATGTGGTCGCTGACGTGGTCGCAGATGTGTTCGCAAATAAGGTCGGTGATGTGGTCAGCTCTCGCAAAAAAAAAAAAAAAAAAAAAAAATTTTATTCGAATGCTGGTTCTCCAATGCAGTTCATGTAATCTGTGGTAAAATAGTAACAGCCAGAACGCCACGTAACATACGGATATATCAAACAAAGTAGATATGTGTTGTTCTGAAATCTCAAGTAGGGGAACATCAAATATTTTATTTTTTAAAAATATTTTAAGTCCTTAAGCGAAAATATAGTCTTCTATATGCATGTTCTTTATTCTCTTGAAATACATAATTTGATCATTGGCTACTAAATTTAAGTGCACCGGCATCGATTACCAAATCTAAATTATCACTAACTACGACATTTTTTACACTCGAGGTGTTCTTTGATGGCAGATTTCTCCGATAGAGAATTACCTTAGATGTATTGTGTTTAAAATGTTTCAATTGTATAATTTTGTCTTGGTTAAAGTACGTATTTATTTATGTGCTGAAAATAAATATGCACAATGTAGTAAAAAAAAACCTTAACATTTCTTTCATTCAATAAATTATCTTATCTTATTTTATATTTTATTTTCTTATCCTAAATCTGTATTACATAAACAATGTTGTTTTTTTTTTTAAATTTTAATTTTCATAACAAACCCTGTATGCATTTTTAGTGAATACAAATGGTTGATATGGAACTTGAAGAGGTTGGAGATTTAATTAGCGATGAGGCTAAATGAATATTTCATGCAATTTTAATAAAATTAAATTTTAACATGCATTTCAAATAAAGTAAGCTTAAAGTTCCAAGCCAATGAGTTAAGTTGATATCAGAGGCTGAACATTTTGCATTTGACCCAACAAAAGTACTAGGACACAAATTGCGATGGTCAGGAAACCTAGATGAAGACGTTTAGCATCACAGGCCGCGCGCTCCATCCTCTCTATCTCGCTGTCAGTGCATTTTTGTTGGTTCTTTAAACAACCGGAACCAGCTTCATTTCTAATTTTCTCGCAACGTCTCTTTTCGTCAAGTTTAAAAAGCGTGCTTGTATTTCCATTGCTACAGGTTAAAATTTGCTCAAAGCAGTTGTAGCTTATTGTTTTCAGCTCTTCAATAAAATCATGGCTTGGCTCGTCGGTTGTCTGAGTTAACGCCAGGTCTTGGTAGACGCAGGTCAACAGCAGAGTCAGTGTGATTTGTCTGGTCAGTGTTGCCATGACGTTCAGATCTGAGGGATTGTTAAAAAAAAAATTTAAAAAGTAGCTATAATATGGTGAGGTCTACCATCACATTTTTAATGAAAAATAGTCGGGGGGGGGGGGGTTTGGGGGATAGTGGACATTTGAATGGATATAAAATAAAACCTTTATTGTACGTTGTCAAAGATCATCGTGACGCTGTAGCATCGTCAAACGGTAATATCCCACGCGTTGATATCATGATCTAGAAGATTTATTTTTTCAAAAATAATTTTCAAATGTACAACTCAGTCTAAAACTACTGCAAGAAAAAGTCGGCGTCAGGTCAGATTTAGCCCACGGGTCGTAGTTTGCTGAACCCTGCGCTAGAGCTCGAGCTGCGGGAGCTGACCGCGACCAGTGTTTCTTTCAGAAATTTTCCCCCGAGGGAGCACTTCAGATTTTTTTTTGGGGGGGGGGGGGCGCAGTTCAGATTTATTTTATTTTATTTTTTTTTTGGGGGGGTTTTTTCCCGGGGGAGGGGGGTGTACTGCCCCCCCCCCGCCCCCCCCCCGGAGATATAGCTGACAGAAACCATGACCCCCGACTGAAAAAAATATGGAGATGGAGTTCTTAAAACAATCTGGGTTTATAACTGCACTTTAATATAATTGAGACATTTCCTATTACATGTAAGGCCCAAGTTATATCGGCAATTCCACGTTCATTATGGTTAAACTCTATGATCCAAATTACTGCTCACTTTTCCAAGTCTGGGTGGTTGCCATTGAGAGGACACGCCAACGAGATTACTCAGTGAACACAGTCGGATGCCAACAATGAAATAAACCTACGTCACATAAATCTAACACAGACACGCTTGGCATAGTTCAGACACTTAGATCTAACATAGACACACTTCACATATATAAGACTATTTTGATCTAGCATAGATGCGTTTGAAATAATTCAGACACTTGAATTGCTGTCTTGTGAATTTACATATGTTTTCACACGCTGTGGTAGCAAATCAAATTTATTTTAATCACATATTTAAAAAAAAAAAATCTTTAACAAAATAATAATTTAAAGCAAGCAGAAATCATTGCTAATAATAAATACACGAATTCTTACCGATCTGTGACCCTAAAGACTAGGAATATGCAAAAATTCAGATATCGTTGGGAGGTATTACTTTTTGTGGGCTAATTTCTTTTTTTTTTCCTTTTGATCTCATATGTTGTCACAACACCAGCCAATCGGATCAAAGATAAAGCGACCAATAGAGTTTAGTTGACATGTTAAAATATTTTTTTTTTTAAACAGCACTGTCCCCATTCTATAGTTTTCATTTCAAGCAGTGTTTGTTTAAAAAAATGATAAGAAAGTGGAGGGTAGCATTGAATTAAAACCCACATGTGGTGTGGACATTTCTTAAAACATATGTTTGAGCCACGTGAAAGCAAAAAAAAAGTGGGACAACTCTGCAACTCCTTTTCATAGCTCATGAAAGAAAAATCAAGTGTGTGATTTTAAATGGTTCTAGGAAGTTTTTCGCTCAGCTTTAAAATAAATTTGCTATACGTGTATTTTTCCTTTCATAATTCCAGCATAATGAACTACTGAGGGTGTTGAGGAGCCGAGAAGTCTAAACTGATTCAATCCCCAGCAAATGCCTAGGCAAGCAGAAACATCACTGGCACCCCGTTAGAATGGTATTCGTTTACCTTCGATAGCAACTCATCTAAGAGAAGGCAAACTCTGAAATCAAAACCCGGAGATGGAGACCCATGGGTTGTATGACGTTGACACAATTGTAATTCCGACAACGTCTGTGACGTGGAGGGCTAAAATATTATAGTAAAACACACAAGAAACACTGCATGCTGGTCGATCTCCAGTCTTCTTGACCAAGTGTTGCCACTGGATCAATGGGCTAAGACGAGTGTTACGCACTGACTTGTATTTGGAGAAATTTAATCTCCTATTTTAATTTTAATTGGCTCGTTGCAAACAGTGCCTAACAAAGGACGATACCATAGAATCAACAATATTATAGATACGACCGAAAACAGTTTCTAGTTACAATTAATTAAGATTTATTAAGTCTTAAGATAATTACAAAAGAAAAGAAAATATAATTACAATCTTCAACTTACAGTATGGTAGATCTTGTACCGGTACACAGTTAACACAGTTAGAATAATGTGCCAATAAATAATGCGAAATAAACACATATGAGCACACAAATACACAAAGAATAAAACACGCCTCGTAATGTTAAGAAAATCTATCTGAAATCTCCGTCCTCGTCGTGCCTGTCAATCCCTTATATAGGTGGGTCTACCGACGCCCAAGCCCTGCCTTCGATAAGCTACATGGCATTTCTAGAGCCATCAGATTTATTCTACAAAATACTACTTGGAACAGATTAATTATTTTTTGTAGCTGGCGGCATAAACAAGAATACATCAAAGGCCTAAGCCACACCCCTTTGTGAACACAGCGTCTCATGTGGGGTCAATCATAGGACAAGCACGAGAAAAATTATGTAAACAAGCTCTCTATAACACGAGACAGTGAGGGTGATGATTTTAGAAAATGTCCCTTACCTTAAACAATTGACAGTTCAGGTCAAAACTACTATTCCAGTGGAATATTGCCTTGATCATCTTCCTTTGCGAAGGACGAACAATAAAATAATATAATGAACTATAAAATACATTAATATTTTACAAATGCGGTGGTCTGCCTATCCGCATATCTCTGGGAGATCAGCGAGTGAGTGAGCTTAGCGCCAAGCAAGATAAGTAAATTTTCAAAGCCTAACCTATCATGGGTCCCGAGGAAAGACTAAAAGTATATTTACATAAAAAACACATTTGTTGTGTTGCGAAGAAGTACCATTTTGTTTGTGTTTTGGGGATACCACCAATCTTGCCTCATTTATTAGTGATTGCTGTGTATCTAGCCATGCATTTAGCCGTTAATCTTGCGTTGTATCTGGCCGTGCTTCTAGCTATGTCTATAGTCGTATATCTAGCTCTGTATCTAGTTGTGCATTTAGCCGTGCATCTAGTGGTGTATCTAGCCGTGTATCTAGCCGCTAATCTAACATTGCGAATTTGTTCTCGAGTTCGAAATATTACACTGCTTGAGCTCAACCAGGAAGGTTTAACTGAATATCAAATACATTTGCGCATTTTCTTTTTATTTGTACTATGATAAAGATAATTTTGTTTAAGCTTTGGGCAAATATTTCCTTCTTGACAAATTATTGCATGGTTCGGGAGAAAGTTGGTAATTTTTTTTTCTCAAACTAACAGTTTTAAAAAAATTATAAAGTTACGGTACTCTTTTATCCGCCCGATCCTTATACATACACCTGTGAAGACACAAAATGGTCGTTATTTAACTGAAATTACATATCTAAATATCATCACACCCTTAAACAAAATCGTTATAATAAGTAACATAATTATAATTTTAACATTATTTAATGACATTCAAAATGACGTTGTTAAAAGTTTTAGCGAGACGGCACGTCAGTTTTCCTGGGGCGCAAGTACATATGGGGCGCCTTGGAGGGTAAATTAACATCGCTTTTGTGTCCTGCAGCTTCCTATGTTATGGCGATAACAATGGCAGGCACTTTGCGATAAATTCTGCCTGCTATTGCGAAAACACATCGCAATACCGTCTTGTAAAAAGAAATCTCTATGTGTAATGATGGTTACGATCCTAACATCATGAAAAGTTTTTTTATGGAGCATTTTTCTGCTTTATTTTATATGCCTTTCATACCCCATTTGGAAGCCCCGAAACATTTTTTTTTTAAATCTAAATTATCATTTATTAAAATCATTATGGTCACTTAAGAAGTTCATTGACGGCTGATTTCTACGCTAGAGAAATACTAAAGATGTCAATTGTTCCTAAATTGTTAAATTTCGGGACTACGCTACGACTTTTCGTGTCCCTAACTATTTTTTTTCCTCTATTAATTTTGAAAACCTAATGTTAAATTTACAACAAAAACTCTACAAAATATTTCAAATAAATTTTATATCAACGGAATTTGATACATTGGTATCCTTTGCCTTTGTTTTCTATTACGTGATTGGCAAAATCGTATAACTGAGAATTCTTTGACCTTTTATTATTCAGTCTCGAGTGCCTTTGTTACAGAAATGTTATTAATCTCATAACATACAATCACTTTAATTTTCGCCAAGTGAAATAAAAAAACATTAAAATTTCATCATCTGAAAGAAAAACTTAACCCACCTCGATTTATTGCAATTTAATTCTGACGTGTGTATAATAATTGCGTCTTGATATTAATGGGTTGACTTATGTAAATGTACAAACGTTGTTTTTTTAACGTAATTGATTTTCCTAATTTGGTAAATGTTTGTTTATTTTTTTAAACGATAATGCGACATTTCTTTTTCTCAGCTGTATGTCCTTGAATTTAAAGATATTGTCATCCACGTCAACTTGTACGCACCTATTATCTGCACCGATATGTAGGTGCCTAAGAAAAGTTAATTATTCATCAAATGCATTCCTTTTTTCGGAGGCGTATCTGGTGCTGCCTGGAGCAAAATGGAAGTATTGAATTACATCCCCATCCCCACCCCGAACTCAAGATTTTAATACAAAGCAATAAAATCACCCACGGGATTGTAGCCCCTACATACAAGAAACATACATCTTCTTCTTCTATATCTTAAGGGCCCACGATCAATTTATTGATCATTTTGGCTCCTATGCATGTAGATGGGATTTGCAATGTTTCTGTTACCGGTGTTGATGAGGAAATCATGCACTAGGGGTTTGAAGGCTTGAGGCAATAGACAAAAATGTGTCTAGTGGTGTCGCCTCAACCATTCCTCAACCGTACACATTTTTTGCACTTCATATGATTTGTTCTTATATGGATGAGTGATAAGTGTTCATTGGTTTTGGAGTTTTGCCTGCTTGACTTAAACGGCATTTTGTTATTAAAAGTATATTTAAAGTTTAAGTTTTTATTACTTTATACTTTTAATAAAAGTATATTATTGGAATAAACAATAAGTAAAAATTTATTAAACGTTAAAAATACAACGTATTTTTTTTTTTATTTTAGCAATTTAAAAAGCAATCAAGTGTATTTATTAATTTTACTTTTAAGAGGAGGAAAATACATTATCAGTTTTGTCACGCATGGTTATATAATCAAAGAAACTTAAGAGCTTTGACTAAAATAGGCATTTTGCGCTTTGACGTCAGTTGTGTGTTTATTCGGATCAAATTAATTTTAATTTTATTTCGCAATATTAATAACCAGCTAAAAATGCACTAAAATAACAAATGTTTGTTTCTTCACAATAAATGTGATTACAGATTAATTCTTAGATCATATTTTTTTCATAACGTTTAAATGGGATAGAATGCTTAAAGTAAATCCTCCTTGTTATTTTGTTAACTAGCGAGTACCCGGCATTCGTTGCAATGCCACTGAAAGAAAGAATTTATTGTGTTGTATTTATGTTTTCTAATGTACTTTTCATGTACAAACTTTTTTTTTACGTACTCTAATAAATTAGAAGGTTTTTCGAAACATGAGCAGGCCCCACACAGCTTTCCATGTGAGAAGCATGGATGTTCAAAATATATTCCACACAGTAAATCCCCCCATGCAATAGTAATGTGTGAAATTATATTTCTATAGCTCATTTAGAACATAAAAACAAATTTGGGGCCCGCAGCCCCAAACGGAATATTGTAAATAGATGTACAAATTCAGAAACCTATAATCATGTCACATACTAACTTAAATGTCGCAGTTTGTTTTTGATTCAATTCCATCCACCCATGCAATAGCTCTGTTTGAAAATATATTTACATAGGTCATATAAGAA